CAAGAATCCAACACAAAAAATAAAATAAAAAGAATATAATCTATATTTCTTTTTAAAATGCCAATAATCATCCAAGGTACCTTGGACAGTAGCTACAAGCCAAGTTAGCCTTTTCCAATCATGGTTCTGATGTGTTTCCAGAGATATGAGTATCTTTATATTCTGTATTTGTAGTAAGAATCTAGCCAACTGAACATATTCAGATTTAGCTGGATGCCTTCCTCATAACTGCATTATGTCATATGGTTTAAATGTTCATATTTGCATTTGTGCTTCTAATCAAACGCAAGTGGGTGGGTTGCTAAGAACAAAATGTAAGCAGGTTGCACGTGGCAGCACAGCCACTGGATATAGGTGAAGGGCAGGCTGAATCTCAGGCATCTAAATAGAGATGATGGGTAGAGAACTGAGTCACCACTTGGCTCGTCCATGTAAGACAAGAAGCCTGGGCCACAGCCTTCAATGCCAAATCAATTGGCAAAGGACACACAGTGTAACCCTCTCCATATATACTTACTTGCAGGAATTCAACATGGTAAATATAAATACAATGAAATGGTGATTTTTACACGTCGCAGAATAAAAGGACTGACTTCCTGTTTTGCAATTAATTTCATGTATAGTTTTCCTATTGTGTTGCTGAAGATAATTTTTGAGATACAGTTATTATTGGTGGACACAAGTTGAAGCATAGAATGAAGCAACAGATGATCCACCTTAGGATTTTGAGGTTGTTTGCAGGGGGTATAGAACCCAGGGCCTCCAGCCTACTAGGCTAGCACTCCACACCTGAGCTACCCAGCTTTCTCCTTGTTTTTACTTGAGTATGAAATGCTTTATCTGGTTTGTTGTGTGTCTGGCCCACTTCCTTAGTTATGCTTGCCTCAGAACAATATTAAATGAATTTATATTCCCAGTGATTGGAAGAGGGAGGTCCCAGGGCACGTGGAATGTAGGAAGGAAGCCAAGCTGAATTTAGTTAATGCCGAGAAAAGCTGGTAGGTGTGAACAATGAGACAAGCTTCCTGTAAGGAAATGCAGCAATACACATCCAAAACCTTCAATAGTTACTTGCTTTTTTTAACCTATAAATTCCACTTTTAGGAAATAATCCTAAAGTACTAATTCTGGATGTCAAAAAGGACTTAATTGAATCAGGGGATTGGTTAGTGGGACTGTAACTGTGCTCATGCTAACAAGTTGATGATACCTAACAGATATTGATGCTATCTTTATACAAGGCTTTTTTTTTTTTTTTTTTGTACTGGGGATTGAAACTAAGGACAGTTTTATTACTAAACTACCTTCCCAGCCCTATTTATTTATTTATTGAGACGTGCTCTTGCTAAGTTGCTTAGGGCTTCATTAAGTTGCTGTGGCTGTACTAAAACTTGCACTCCTCCTGTCTCGGCTTCCCAAGGTCCTGAGATTACAGGCGAATACCGCCACACTCAGCCCAAGGCTCTATGTTAAGTAACCGCATCTGTTATTTCATTTAATTCTAAAAACACAAATGCGGTTAGTATTAGCATCCCCCTGATTTACAGACAAGTAAACTGAGTAATCCTCCCAGTTAATAAGTGGCAATTCTGAAGTACGAACCCAGAGAGTACAATGCTAGATCTCAGCCAGAGTCTAGTGGATCCCCAAGAATTGTCATGGACTGAATGTTTCTGTCCTTCCCAAAATTCATATGCTGAAGCCCTAATCCCTGGTGTGATGGCATTTGGAGATGGGGCCACTGGAGGGTAATCAGATGATGAGAAAGGAGCCCTCCTGATAGGATTAGGGCCCTTCTAAAAAGAGAAAAAGGAGAGCTTGCCCCACCACACACACACACACCTCTATATCTCTCTCCTCTGAAAGTGAGAATGCAGCAAGAAGATGGTTATCTACATACCAGAAAAACAGTCCCCACCAGAACCCAACCAATGCTGACACCTAAACTTGCCCTTCACAACTCCAGAACCACGAGAAATTTCTGATTGCTTAAGTTACCCATTTTATGGAATTCTGTTATAGGAGCCAGAATGAAGAAAGAATTCATGTAAAATTATAGAATATCTATGTCATAGAAACACAAATATACAAGAGAGCATGTACGTACACATAAAGCAAGTTATAAAACATCATATACTGCAGGCCAATCTTTGTAATTTTTTTAGAAACTGGCATGTATCAAAATGTAGTTATTACTGGCAATTTTTCTTATTTATTTACATTTTCTTTAAATCATTTTTATAATTGAAAACACTACATTTATTTTTAAAAAAATATGTTCCTACAATCTCCAGTACTGAAAACAATAAGTAAAAAATAAATACTATGTTCCAGGTAATCTATACTATACTTATTAAGAATTGTATATATGAACAGCATTACAACAAAGAAGCTTTCTTGTGTGATTTTTCATTTAATAGCATGTCACATTGTCAAATAAAAAGCAATTTAATCAAGCCAACCTATCTAAGAATTCAGATACCCCAGGAATCTTTATTCCATCCCAAATATCCCTTTCTACCTGTCAGGGTTGTCTACGTGGTTTCCTCCAGCCTGTTCTGTGACAACAAGCAGCTAGACTTGGAGGTGGCACCATAGCCTCCAAAGTGACTCCTTCCTGCCAGACCCAGTGCAACGCACCTGTAATTTCAGTGGCTTGGGAGGCTGAGGCAGGAGAATCACAAGTTCAAAGGCATCCTCAGCAATTTGGCAAGGTCTTAAGCAACTTTGCGAGAGTGTGTCTCAAAATAAAAAAGGGCTGGGGACACGGCTAAATGGTTAATCACCCCTGTATTTACTCTCTGGTACCCCCCCCAAAAAAAGAAGAAAGAAAGAAGTGACCCCTTCCTAACAGAAGTGACAGCACCCAGCACCAGAAGAATGAAGAGGCAGCTGCACTTTGTCTACAGCAGAAAAGTCCGGGCCCTGGAGGCTGAGCATGAGGCCACAATAAATCCACTTCTTCCCTTTGAGGAAAGGAGACCATGAAGGAAAATCCAAACCCAATAAAAAAAACTATGGCCCAACTCTACACCTGCTTTGAAATAGTTATCAGTACTTTTCTATGCTTAGAGCAGGGCCTCCTCCATCCATAAAGCTCTGAATCTGAGTTGCCATGGCCTATATGTCCTGACCCATCACTATTGGGTCTGACCTCACTTTGAACAGCATGGCATTTAATGCTAACATTACATCATTTTGGAGGCTTGCAGTGCTCCAGTAATGAACTTGAGAGAAACTGAGCTGGAAGAACCTTAGAAATCATTTGGTCCAGGGTTTTTCAGCAGGGGTGCCATTGGTATTTGGAGCAGGACGGTTCTTCACTGGACTGGATGAAACATATTTTACAATTCACGTGTGGAATTTAGGACACTAGCATTACATAATGCCAAGCATACATTAGTACCCCATATACAGGACAACCTCAAGTGCTACCCAGGTGTTCCTGGTTGAGAGCCTCTAGACTAGTATATCACTGAAGTCCAGAGAAGTCACTTGCCTGAGGCCACATGGGTAGCTATAGACAAAGCCCACATCTCAAAACACAGTTCAGTGCTCTTTTCACTGCACCATACTCCCCTAATTATGCTCATGAGAGCAAGGGACACTTAAGAACTGACTTCACACTCAGTGATAAGCTTTATTGGCCTCTGAATGGAAGACTGTTTGAACTTTTTTCCAATCTCATGATGAGTATTATGAAATGTAAAATTCATAGAATTTTATTTCCATAATTACTCTTAAAAATGTATCTGAATAGTCAAAGCTTAAAAGATGCAATTGTGCACCAGGTGTGGTAGTACACACCTATGATTCCAGCTATCCACCTGGAACTCCAGCCACCGGGGAAGTGGAGGCAGGAAGACCACAAGTTCAAGGCCACCCTGGGCAACTCAGAGAGACCCTATCTCAAAAAAAGTATAGGGGGTATGCAGCTCAGTGGTAGAATGCTTGTGTAGCATGCACAGGGTCCTGCATTCCATCCCTAGTACCAAAAAAGAAAGAAAGAAAGAAAGAAAGAAAGAAAGAAAGAAAGAAAGAAAGAAAGGGCCCTCCAAAAGCAGCAAGGGAAAATGAGTCTGTGGGATAGTTTTAATGAAATAAAACCTTTTACTTCAAGATTTTTTAAAATCATGATTTTCCTGGGGCTGGGAATGTAGCTCAATAGTAGAGTACTTGCCTAGCATGCACAAGGACCTGTGTTCCATCCCCAGCATAGCAAAAAATAAAAAAGTTAAGGAAAAAAATCAAGATTCTCCTCAGTTCAGTGCTCATTTTGAATATGAAATCTGTTTATTTTTAAATACTATCTTGCTAATTTTAAAGGACTTGTAAGGAGATTGGCCCAAAGCAAGACATAGATATGTCCCTTCTCCCATTTGATATCAGCACCACATATTTTACAATTCACGAGTGGAATTTAGGACACTAGCATTACATAAAGTCTTCCATTAAGTTTCAGAGGGGGAATACACTTTAGCAGTGCTTTATTCATATGAGTCTTCTAAAAGTAGACAATTTTTCCTTTGCTTCTCTAAATTGCAAAGCACTTAGTGATTCCTCTTTAAAGAGTTAACACAATTTACCAATTTACACCATTTACCATCACTGCAGCCTCTAGAACACAGGAAACAAGTGGAGGGGAGCAGGAATAAAGATTAGAGAGAAAGTAAGCAAGGGAACACAGGACTACAGAAAGCTCGATGCCCAAACAAAACTACCCTATACAAATTTCAGGTAAAATTCAAAAAGTACTTTGAACCTGGCATCCAGTTTGCACTTACAGGTATGCAAATGTGACTATGTCCCTGCTTATAGCAAATCGAATTAATAATCACCAGTAGTATTCATTTTCATTTCAAAACCCTGGAAAGGGCCCAGGTCTACGCTCAGGAAAGAGTGCATTCCAAAGAGACCACTCCCTCTGCGTGCGGCGGGGAGAACTTTCCTGTCTACAGTCACGACCCAAAACGGAGTTTTACAGCAGCGCGGATACTCACGGGGACTTGCCTCTGCAGCCAGGACGGCCGGGGCCCCACAAAGGCAAAGCCAAGGCCTCGAGAGCCGGGCTTTGTGTGGAGGTGGGATGGCGGGAGGGTCTGCTGGGGAACAGCTTCAGGCGGCTCTGACATTTACATGTCAATGCGCGAACCCACGCGCTGCTCTGCTTTCCTGACCCGTCCGGCCGCCAGGCCTGGGTTTTGTTCTCCCTTCGCCCAGAAGCCTTGAATCCGGCGGCTGCCAGCATGCATTTGGCAAACTCGTTATGAGGGATTTGTCACCCTCTTCAGAGCCCTGAGCCTAGGTAAATGCATTAGCAATCCACAGGCAGGCTTTTCAAATTCTCCAACGACGCCGTGCTGGGAGAGAGGCATGCTTTAGATGAGACCCACCCACAGGACCCAATCGGAATTCTCAAAGAGCTCTGGGTCAGAAAAAAAGAGCCCATCTCAGAGACATAGATGTTCCGTCTGCCACTCAGGCTCCAAAATCAACTGCTCTGGGGGATTAGTTCGTTTACAAGTTAGTATAAGACAAGGGCATGATTTGGGTGCCAAAACCAAACAAATGAACAAACTTAACAATGTTAAGGTTCATTAACAAAAACACAGTATTATGAACAAAGAAACAGGGACGAGGGGGAATACATGGTTTGTGTTCTACTTTACATAGAGGAGTGGTAACCAGGAAGGGGGAGAGATTCTACTAATACTGCCCTATAAGGAAGAAACCATTGGGGCAGGTGGGGGTGGGGGATGGGCATCCTCAATCCGTGACAGACAGTAGATTTATTCAGGGGGCTACAGACAGCAGAATAAAGGGTAATGACTGAATAGAGAGAGCATCTGCCCAAGCTAAGAGAATTTTTGACTACTAGAAATTCTGTCCTCTATGCATCCATCAGTGGGCAGGGGGCTTTCCTACAGTGTTGGGGGCTGCATGGAGGGTGCTGGCAGAAGAGAGTGGGGCTTCAGTGACTTCATCTGACTGAGCTCACCTTAAGAACAGATTCTCTGGATTTTTAGACCCAGAAACAAAATGAATGTAGAATAAAAATATTGATTTACAAAGCAACACATTCTGTATAATACATTACAGAAAAAATGATTTATACTGAGATGAGGCCACTCTTCCAATGATCAAAAGCAGTCCAATCATTAGTCATTTCTGAAATTACAAAATGCTCTTCCATGACCTATTTATTATGGTTTGAAAATAGCAAGGTTGGCTTGCTACTACTATTCCCTTAAATTCCTCTTTCTTTCTTCCTCCATTTCTCAAAAAGCTGCTGATATAATTTGGATCACTTACAGCACTTACGTTTACAAAGTGTTTTATGGTCAATTGAGCTTTATGAATATTTCATGGGGCAGAATCTCACTGCTGGTCTAGAACTTGGAAGCAGAAGAGGGGAGGGAGTTCTGAGGATGTGCCTTAAAAGTGTGTGCAGGGGCCTGGTAGACACCAGCTACTTCCATCGTATGAGAGGCAACAGCATAAAGCTTTCCTCCCTGGAAATATTATCTTTCTGCCTAAGTTGCAAAAGAAACAAGAAACTGCTTTGACCCACAATTTCCCCTGGCACTGCTCTGGGTACAAAGCTGACTTGGATGTGACTTCATCAAGCTTCATATAGGAGCAAATGCGCAAATCTCCACTACCACCACCGTTATCCACAATGATATTATAAAACAGCTATCAACGTTCTATTGTTCTAAAGTGAACAGGAAATGTATAAGACATGTATATCTAAAATCTTGATAATTATTGATAAAATTGAATTCCAACTAGATCATATTTGTATTCTACAACATTTTATGAAAGTGCACATTTTTCTATTTCCCTACACAGCCAACAACATGAATGTCCACTTATCAGACTTTTTTAAAAAAACAAAACAAACAAACAAAAAAATCATTTTTGGTCAAGCAGTGGTGCACACCTGTAATCCCAGCAATTTGGGAGGCTGAGGCAGGAGAACTGCAAGCTTGACGCCAGCTTCAGCAACTTAGCATGACTCTAAGCAACTTAGCAAGACCCTGTCTCAAAATCAAAATCAAAAGGGCTGGGGGTGTGGCTCAGTGGCTAAGTGCCTACGGGTTCAATCCCCAGTACCAAAAAAGAAAACAAAAAAACATGCTTGATGGGGAAAAGTTTTCATTTATGTTTACTTTATATTTTATTTATTGTTAGTACAGTTGAGCATCATTGTTTTGTTTTGTTTTTTTAATGTTAGGAAAACCAATCTAGACAAATATGTCCTAAACTGGTTGGTTATCTTTGTGGGATGGGATATGGGAGACTTCCAGTATCACATTGTAGGCTTCCATTATGTTCAAAATATGGATGACGTTGCTTTTTTTTTTTTTTTTAATTTCAACAGTATATAAAGTTTTTAGAAAGTGATTGGTCACTGGGGCATCTTTTTTAAAAAAAATTACATTGAATGTCATTAGATACCAGTTAATTACACAAGGTACTCTATTAGGTAAGTCAATATACAAAACTGGATTAAAGTATAGCGCTTGATGTTTGTTATCTCCTCGAGTCAATAAAATGTACTCAGACTCACTTTGAAGATGAAGAAAGCAATGCAATCCTTGCTAGCAAACTTGTCTCTCACTGAGACAGAACACCCTATCATTTCTGGCCTGGCTCCTTTAGGAACGCCTAGTCCCAGTGTGGCACCATAATTGCAGTTCTCTTTTTTACTCTATTACAGTAGACAGGCTGCCAGCGTAAGTGGGATTTAGAGCCTGGTGAAAAGTACAGGAGTTATTTTGAAAGAAACTAGGAATAGACTAGAAATAGCTCACTTGGAAGACTGATGTTTGGGGATAGTTACATTTCTGATAGGCAATGATCTAGGAGAATATAAACAGAGGTCTGTATACACATCTGCTGGTTAAAAAAGAAAAGCACAAAAATGGTGTGTGTGTGGGCATGTCTGGCAGTACCATGTCCATTAAAGCAAATTTTTCTGGTATGGAAGGAGGAAAGATCCCCAGTGATACAAACCAAACGTTACTTTCTAGTAAAGCTTTGGTCTACAAAAGAGGGAAGTATCAGACTGTTTTAACACAATGATATGATATGAGACTACAGTAAATCAAATTAATTTGTTAATAAACTTCACTTGACTATTAGGGAGTATAAGCATTTTGAAAAAAACAATTTTTTATACTGTAGTTCTACTTCTAGATCTCTTTCACTAAAGGAATAATTCTAATATGGAAAAAAGCTTTATGCAAAAAAAAATTTATACTACAGAATTATCTGTCATAGTAAAACAATTTAAACAAAATATCAGGGAGACCACTGTCCAAGAAAAGAGAATGATTCAGTAAACCAGGAAACTACCATTTGGTAAATACAGTTGGCTCTCTCTCTCTCTTTTTTTTTTTTTTTTTTTTTTTGCTATAGACTCTGGATGATTATTTTTTTTATTGGTTGTTCAAAACATTACAAAGCTCTTGACATATCATATTTCATACATTAGATTCAAGTGGGTCATGAACTCCCATTTTTTACCCCAAATACAGATTGCAGAATCACATCGGTTACACATCCACATTTTTACATAATGCCATATTAGTAACTGTTGTATTCTGCTACCTTTCCTATCCTCTACTCTTTATAAGCAGTTTTGTTTTCCATTGTTTTAGTTACCCCTCAGCCAACTACAGTCCAAAATATTAAGTGGAATCTTCTAGAAAGAAACAACTCATAAGTTTTATATTGTATTCTGAGTAGCACAGCAAAATCTTGTGTCATCCTGCTCCTTCTCACTTGGAACAGGAATCATCTTTTTGCCCAGTGTATCCATGCTATATATGCCACCTACCTGCTAGTCTATCTACTAACCTAGATGGCAAACAAGTGACTATCACAATATCGCAGTACTTTTGTTCAAGTAACCTTTATTTTACTTAAGAAAAGCACAAGTACAAGCACAAATATACTGATGCTGGAAATTTTATAGTAGAATATTGATATAATTGTCCTATTTTATAATTAGTTATTGTTAATCTCTTACGGTGTCTAATTTATAAATTAAACTTTATCATAAGCATACATGCATAGGAACAGCATAGTATATGTAGGGTTCAGTACTGTCTGCAGCTTCAGACATTCACTGGGGGTCTTGAAACATATCCCTCATGGATAAGGGAACAACTATAATATATGCCTTCAAATGATGCTTCTGGGTTCATTCTCATCTCAATAGTGCATCTCTTAGAATCTATCCTAAAGAAATAGTCTCAAAACACAGGAAAATCTTTCTTTGCAAAAGTAAATAATTGAAGGGCCGGGGGCAGTGGGGCATGCCTGTAATCCCAGCGGCTCGGGAGGCTGAGGCAGAAGGATGAGTTCAAAGCCAGCCTCAGCAACAGCTAGGCACTAAACAACTCAGTGAGACCCTAGCTGGGGATGTAGCTCAGTGGTCCAGTGCCCCTGAGTTTAATCCTTGGTACATAAATAAATAAATAAATAAATATATAATCACATCCAACATAAAAAATATATACAGTTAAGTGAGCTCCTTAGGTTCTTAGAAACTCACCTCAAGTGGGATCTTCCCCTAAGAAATCTTCCCTGACCCCAACCCAGTTCTGGATTCCCATGATGCCGTGTGTCACCCATCATAGCAGAACTTCAGGGTTCTATATGCATGTACCAATCCAAGCACCTTAAAGATAAGGAACTTGACTTCTTTGACATAATATTCCCAACACCTAGCACAGTGCCTGGCACTAAGTAAATATTATCCAGATGTCTACATTATATAAAATTATTACTCATTTGTTAGGGCTTCCATAACCAAGTACCACAAACAGGATGTCTTAAAGAAAAGAAATCTACTATCTCACCATTCTGGAGGCTAAGAATCTGAATTAAAGGTATTGACAGAGTTGGTTCCTTTTAAGGGCTGTGAGAGAAATATCCAAACCTCTCTCCTTTGCATGTAAGAGGCCATCTTCTCTACATCTCTGTACATCATCTTTTCTGCATGCCTGTTTTCAAATTGCGTCTTTTTATAAGGACAACCATTGTACTAGATTAAGGCCCACTATAGTGATCTCACTGCAACTTTTGTAGACACCCTATCTCCAAATATAATCAAAATCTGAACTACTAGGAGTTAGGACCTCCTATGAATTTAGAAAAGACATAATTCAATATTTAATAATCAGTAAATGTAAATATTTATGAGAATTTGCAATTATAAGGAAATACCCATTTATCACATTTAGTAGGAAAAAAAGAAGAGTGGAGTACAAATTTTTGGTAACAATTTCAAATTACATTCACAGAAAAACAAACAAACAAACAACTTTTACCTGTTTTTAAAAATAAGGGGAAATGATATTTAAAGAGTTTAAAACATAGGAAATGTGTTTTACACAGTCTGGTTACAAAATGTAAAATTAAAGTATTTAAATAGACAGGAAAGAAATGTATCATAATGTTCACATAATTCATTAACAAAGGATGTAAGAAGATCTTTGTGTGTCTTCCTATTTTTTAACATTTTTCAAACTTTTCTATAATGAACTGTGCTACTTTTTTTTTTTTTTAGGTACCAGGGATTGAACTCAGGGGACACACGGCCTCTGAGCCACATCCCCAACCCTATTTTATATTTTATTTAGACACAGGGTCTCACTGAGTTGCTTAGCACCTCGCCATTGCTGAAGCTGGCTTTGACCTTGCGATCTTCTTGTCTCAGATTCCTGAGCTGCTGGGATTACAGGTGTGCACCACCATGCCTGGCAAACTGTGTTACTTTTAAAACTAGAAGAAACAATACACTATGACTTAAGAACATGCAGTCGAAATATTTGGTAGTATAGTAAATATTCAATATTAAAAAC